AAGTTTTTAAGAGAAAAATTTAAATTTATGAGACATGAATAGTGTGCAAAATCTGAAGCTCCTAGGAGCTGCACCAAACATGTCCTAAATTTAGTGTAAAGAATGGAAGTCACTCTATGAGAAATTAGTTTTATTTTTTTGGTACTAAACTCTCTTGGTATTGAGAAGTTATATTGAGTGCTAACTAATGTAAAGTCGAGCTATGTTAAACCTTTACAGAGAAAGTTCTCCCAACAATTGTTTTTTTCTTCACAAAACTTCAAGTCAATATCTTAATTAAAAGGAACTGAATTTTCTTCTACTCGAATTAACAGCTTATTAGTATGAGAAATTAGTTTTAAAATGTATATAAATTGCTCTAAAAACACTTTAACCTTAAAAAAAATAAAAGAAGAAGAAGAAGAAGAAGAAGTTATGTTAGACCCCTATAAAGGAAATTCTCCAAAACACCTGTTTCTCTATTCATAAGATTCAAAGTCAAAATCTTAATTAAAAGGAACTGAATTCCTTTTACTCGAAACAACAGCTTATCGGTATGAGAAATTAGTTTTAAAATGTATATAAATTGCTCTAAAAACACTTTAACCTTAAAAAAAAATAAAAGAAGAAGAAGAAGAAGAAGAAGAACCAGTGTCTATCTCTGACGTTTATATTACTCCATATTAAAAAAAAGAAATGCTAGTACCTCAAAGTAAATCATTTCGATTGTCATTTAATATTTTTTCATTATAATCAATCCATTTATTAGTAATGAAGGTATAAATTCCTCCTTCCCTTGATAATCTCATCTCATTTTAAACCAATTTGTTACAATCTTTTTTTAATTCTTTTTTAATGAAATAAAGAATTAAAGAGCAAGAATTAAAACAACTTGTTTAAGAGGGGCATAATCAAGGAGGCCGCTGGACTCATTTGCTGCTTTTACAGTGAACAATTGGAAAATATTGGGCACTTGTTTCTCAATTGCAAGGTAACTTCGCAACTTTGGACCAAATGCTGTAATTGGTGGGAATTCAAGCTGTAATTGGTGGGAATTCAAGCTGTTATGGCTGGAACTGTTTGGGATGCTTTCTATCAACATGAAGGTTTTTCTGCTTCAACAAGAATGAGTAAGGGCTGGGATATAGTTTGGTTTGCATTGGTTTGGACAGTTTGGACTATCAGGAATAAGAAGTTATTTAATAGACGTGAGGTAGACATTAATAGGATGTTTGATCTAGTACAGGCATTGAGAATTTTCTTCTCTAATTGATTACTAAGCCCTCATTTGTGTGGCTAAATAAATTGAGTTGTGGGAAGTGTTTGGGAATGGATTTTGTGATTTGATCGCTGTGCTTTTTAATAAATTTGCTTTTGGAAAAAAAAAAAGAAGTTGTTGTGGAAAATGAAAACTGCTATGTTGAATTAATTAATTAATAATATGCGGGACCCATTTATGACAACCACAGAGTCATGGAATAGTTGCTTACTTGTGGATATAAAGTCTGAGGTGGATTGCTGGTAATGGCACGGAGACAGTTGCAGTACTTGGTGCTTAATCTGAGTGTATTTTGATGGAGTCGAAATATTTTATGTATGTGCTACTTACACTCTTCTTATTAGAGGGGCTGTGGTGCCAAGGGTGTTGGGACCAAGAGAGAACTGCTCTCCTCCAACTCAAGCTTTTCTTCACTAAATCTCAGCACCTGAGAAACTGGGAGAGAGGAGAGCAAAATTCAGATTGTTGTCAATGGGAGGGGGTTGAGTGCAACTCTACTACTGGACGAGTCATAACACTCAATCTCAATTACTCATGGTTCGAAGAATATGATGGTGACGTGTATGTGCCTGCATATTGGTATCCACCGTCTGACTTTATGGAGTTCGAGAATGTCATGTATCTAAATGCGTCTTTGTTTCTTCCATTTGTGGAATTGAAGAGTCTCCAGTTGGCTGGAAATGGAATAGCTGGTTGCATTGAAAATGAAGGTTTTAATCTGTCTTTCAACTTAATTTCATCTTTTACTTAAAAAAAAAACACCCATTTGTTTCCTGTTTCATTCTTATATATTTTTTTCGTATAGTTTCAAATTTTTATATTTTTGACTCCCGAAACTGAATTAGTAATTTGCTCAAATGTTGCAAGAAATTGTTTTTGCAGGTTTTGAGAGGTTTTCTAAGTTGAGAAATTTAGAAATCTTTAATCTAAAAAGTAATTAATTGAACAATAGTATCTTATTATTTTTCAGTAAGCTTTCTCTCAAGTGTCTATATTTAGCCAACAACAAATTCCAAGCATCTAACTATGCTAATGGTATAATTGTACATTTTTTACTTTTAGAAACCTATTCCCTTATCATTTCATCTTAATATTTATGTATGGCTCCAAAATTAAATTAATAATTGTACATGTTGCAGGTTTCGAGAAGCTTTCTAAGTTGAGAAATTTGGAAATCCTTGATTTAAATTATAATATGTTGAACAATAGTATCTTATTATCTTTGAGTGAGTTTCCATCTCTCAAGTCTGTATATCTAGCCAACAACATATTCCAAGCATTTAACCATGCTGATGGTCTAATTGTCCATTTCTTACTTATAAAACCTGTTCCCTTATTGTTTCATCTTAATATTTATATGTGGCTCCAAAATTAAATTAATAATTATACATATTGTAGGTTTCGAGAAGCTTTCTAAGTTGACAAATTTAGAAATCCTTGATCTAACTAGCAATATGTTAAACAATAGTATCTTATCATCTTTGAGTGAGCTTCCATCTCTCAAGTCTCTGTATCTAGCCGACAACATATTCCAAGCATTCAACCATGTTGATGGTATAATTATCCATTATTTACTTGTAGAAACATGTTCCCTTATTGTTTCATCTTAATATTTATATGTGGCTCGAAAATTAAATTAATAATTATACATATTGCAAGTTTCGAGAAGCTTTCTAAGTTGACAAATTTAGAAATCCTTGATCTAAGTAGCAATATGTTGAACAATAGTATCTTATCATATTTGAGTGAGCTTCCATCTCTCAAGTCTCTGCATCTAGCAAACAACATATTCTAAGCATTCAACCATGTTGATGGTATAATTGTCCATTTCTTACTTATAGAAACATGTTCCCTTATTATTTCATCTTAATATTTATATGTGGCTCCAAAATTAAATTAATAATTATACATATTGCAAGTTTCGAGAAGCTTTCTAAGTTGACAAATTTAGAAATCCTTGATCTAACTAGCAATATGTTGAACAATAGTATCTTATCATCTTTGAGTGAGCTTCCATCTCTCAAGTCTCTGTATCTAGCCGACAACATATTCCAAGCATTCAACCATGTTGATGGTATAATTATCCATTATTTACTTGTAGAAACATGTTCCCTTATTGTTTCATCTTAATATTTATATGTGGCTC